TCAAGATGGTGATCAATGTGATGGTTTATTAAACAAACGCTTCTCTAGAGATAGGAAACCACCGTCCTATTTAGATGATTATGTACGGTCGGTACAGGAAGGCAATGATTAATACTATTGTGACTTTACTGGAATTGACAAGACCAATGAAAGGTTCTTCAAAATGAGGATTTGTTTTTTCTCGACATAGAAAGAGCATGAGCGGTTTTTAACATTTGGTGATTAAAGTTTTTGGTTTTCTCTCATTTTTTTGTTTTTTTTTTTTTTTTTTTGTTTTTTTCTTGTGAGGAGAAGTGAGATGTGAGGCAGAGAATGGTTGCACTGTATGGAACAGTATATTTGAGTGGTTTTCAGCAACACTGTCTGAGCACAGCACTATCAACTGTGGCGAACGGGAGCGACTGCGATGCCGCCGCTGCTGCTCTCGCATTATGCGCCTCATTCGTAGTCAGTCGGTTGAAGCGGTAAGTGCGTTGTGTGTTTGCTGAGTGATTCTCCCGTCTCATATAAATTAGTTTTCACAGATTCAACAGAACTTTTATCAAAATTATATTTCTTTGCACCTACTCGGCAACTCCGAAATCTAAATTAATTTACAATAAACCATCAATACTGCGAAACCATTGACTTTATTATGTATCAGAATCAACTAAAACCATATTTTAACTCCATACGGAATCATAACTCATAAGAAGAAAAATAAGAAATCAGGCAAGGCTTATTTTTAATTAATTAATTACTTCTATTTTTATAAAACCTATTAAAACATAATTGTATTATATAACTTTTTTATATATTTTTACCCTTCTTACAAAGAAGGGTATAGATATCACTTGAAAAACCGACTATCGATCCGAGGCCCGGAGGGCCGAGTGTCATATACCATTCGACTCAGCTCGACGAGATCGGAACATGTCTGTGTGTGTGTGTGTGTACGTGTGTATGTGTGTGTGTATGTAACGAAATGTATGCGCTCACGTTTCTCAGCAACCGCTCAACCGATTTGGACAAACTCGGCGCCAAATGATAGGTCTTGGGGTCCCATTGAACGCTATTGAACGGTTTTGGAATCGGTGAACCGGTTCCGGAGATATGGCCGGAATAAGATCCGGTGAATATGGGCCTTCACGCTGGATTTAACGGAAAACCAAATTACTACAGAATTCAAAAATAAGATCAATGCAAGTCGTGTTAAGTGTTCCAGACCACATTGGACACACTTGGACATGTTCCGGGTACCCTGGGGAAGTTGCTTGAATATGAATTGAATTAAAACCCATTAAATCACATTAAAATAACGATGATAAGGTGATTGGTAGCCTCACCAAATAGACTACACCCGGATATATTCCGGGTACCCCCAGGCAGTGGCGTAGCGTCACTGGATGACACGGGGTGGGGGGCTTGGTCACTGATAATGACAATAAAATAAATAAACTTGAATAAGTAAGAAGGGTCTGATCACACCATAGGTGGATAAATTCGGGTTTTTTATATAGGTATTTAAGAAAAAAAAAACTGTCTATTTATATGTACTAGTCTACGCCGGTTGACCGTATTAATAAATCAGAAATCATAAGTATGCTATCAATCAATGCTTGAGCAGCTCTTATGAGTTTATTTGGTGTTTACATCTGTGCGGAATTGCTAGCGCTAGTGTACTAGCCAACCAGCACGAATTTCACTTGCTCCTGAAATCTCAAGCTGGTAGACGCTGATGCCTTGTTTACATTATGCTGGTGACCTTTTCTACTAGCAGCTAGCTCATTAGCTCTAGTGAAATAGCATAAGTGTAAACACCCCATTAAGCTGGAATGATTTTTTAGCGTTGAGATTTGTTGGCCGCATTCACATGCGAGTTTATTCTCTATGTGCGTTCATGCAGTATGTGCTTATTTTCAAAACAAAAAAAGTTTTAAAGTTTGAGTCAAGTAAGATCACCGACAAACCGACATGAAAGATCATACAAATTACAAAGAAATTTCTGATCAAAGCACAAAACTGACATCTACAACATATTTATACTAGCCAAAATATTTATCAGGTCAGCTTAATGAGTGAGATTTGAGAATGATTTTCCATATACTGCTTATAAGTATAATATATTTATTCGATTCTATAACATTCCCCAGAATCTCATTCCCCAGAATGTACCATTCCCCAGAAAAGCATTGCCCAGAATGAACCATTCCCCAGAAAACTATTCCCCAGAATGTACCATTCCCCAGAATGTACCATTCCCCAGAAAAGTATGACATGTATTAGATTGACTATGTTTGTTTATAGAAGAGAAAAACTTCTTAATGGATCAAGGGGTTTTCCCTTCTTTGAAAATATAAGAAAAGAAAATAATTAATTCTTTGGATATACGATAAAGAAGGGAATATTCCCTCCTTTGAATATATAAAGAGAACATCATTATTCGTTAAATATATGATAAAGAAGGGAATATTCCCTTCTTTGAAAATATCAGAAGGATATAATTAATTCTTTGGATAAACGATAAAGAAGGGAATATTCCTTTCTTTTAATACAAAAAGAGGACATAATTAATTCGCTGAATATATGGTATGATATTCCTTTCTTTGAAAATATAACAAAAGGAAATAATTAATTCTTTGGATATACGATAAAGAAAGGAATATTCCCTTCTTTCAATATATAAGGAAAATATATAATCAATAGTTTTTCGCAAGGGATTCGGGGCAATGCCCATTCGGGATAATAACGTGTGAAATAATGTTATAAATTTGTAATCGGTAGTTCAACGTTCCATACACCGATTTTTTAATCCATCAAGAGAAATTCTTCAACTCAGATCGAACAATTCTTCGATAAGGTTTAACAGTTTCCAACTGGTTGAATTGGATTGCACAATATACCCTTTGACTTTTTAAATGATGTACGAAGTGCTCGAAAACTTGAAGGTTGTTGAAGGTTTCTAAAGAGCTATAACATGGTTTGGAATTGAAAGTAAAAGTAAACGTAGTGTATCATCAATAGTAAAGTGAAACTAATCAGAGAGATTTATCATGAAAAATATATTAAATCAAATATGTAAAATTTATCGAGAAAATTGGTATTCAGAAGATGTATTACATATTCAGTGTGCAAGATAATCGCGGACCTGTTTATTTATGGACGCCTGTTCTGTAATATAAAACTAAAATATATTATCACATGACGAAAAAAAAAGGGATAAATTACTAATTTCATCATCTTTTCTGGGGAATGGTACATTCTGGGGAATGCTTTTCTGGGGAATGGTACATTCTGGGGAATGTTTTTCTGCGGAATGGTGCATTCTGGGGAATGGAATTTTGGAAAATGGTCTTTTGGGGAATGCTATAGAACCTATTTATTCATTATTCATTGAATTACAATAAATCAAACAAAACAATAGCAACACACTCTATGACTTCTCTTTACATTACGCTTTTTCAGCAATAAATCTTTCCACAAAGGGGCCTACGGTAAGCAAATCTAAACTTATAAAGATTTCCTTCACCTGTTACCATGCCTATTTCTGAAACTGGAAACAGAGTTTGAAATACTCAAACTTCTTTATTTGTTAAAAGCACTGAACTGAGAAATAAATCTTGATACCGATGATGGCACTCACCATACAAGATCTTTCTTGGATAAGAAAAAAAAATCATTATATTGATCTCATCAAATTTTGAATATCTGGAAAAAAAATTCGATAATTGATTTTAAATAAATCTTTACTTGAGCGATTCAGAGCTAATCTGACATTTTAAATGCTCGTGAGCTTTGAAAATTTTCTGAAATTCTTGACATATGTCGTTTTCGTTTTTGCGGTGCAGCACCGGTGTAGTGTAAGCAGGAATAAGCGCGAGTCTTTGACAGTTCAACATCATTTGTTTGTAAAAAAAAAGGTGCATCCTTTATCTACACCCTAAATTATTTCAGTGTACGGCAGTGTAGCACCGGTGTAGCTAAACCGCAAAAACAAAAACGACAATAGATAAATGCGAGGGGCATGCAATTCCCAAAACCGGAGCGTGGGACATAAATTCGAAGCAAAAGTACTCAATGTAATTAATGCATTTTAATGTTGTATGAAAGTAATGACATTTTTTTGCCTTACTGAACGTGATTAAAAGTACTCACATTATAATTAATGGTACTGACAATGTTGTTTACGGCCTTTAATTACAAAATTACGACTGTTATGAATGGACTTAAAATATCCGAATGTAGTTTAATTTGTTAAAGCTGTAAGTAATGGAATTAATTCAATTAAAGTTCTAGCCTGCGTTGGAATTAAAGGTTATTGCGTGCCCTTTTCGGATAAATGGTATAACAGTGTACTCATATGATTGCTGGGCATAAAATTTCCGTCAACATTGGACCAAATTTATATTTTCAAAACTACTGTACTCTAAAAAAGAATAATATGTTTTTCGAATAAAACTGCCAGGATTGTTTTGCACAATTTGCAAACAAGCTATTTTTTTATTGTGCAATTATACTATCACATTACCTGTACCAATGCGATATATACAGGTGTGGCACAAGAGGGTATATGTTGATATTAGTAGCAAAAAAGAGGTAAACAATCGATGATGACGAAAAACTCCTAAAAAATTCAGGCATAACATTTGATAATGGCACAAAAGTATTTGTAAACAAACTTTCTTAGGCCCTTTACACGCGAAACAAAGTACGCCCACGAAAACCAACAACATCATAGGATAGGGGCAGCTATAACCTTTCCGAAAGTGGTATTGGTTTGCGTGGGCGTACTTTGGTTCGCGTGTTAAGGGTCTTAGAAAGTTTGTTTACAAATGCTTTTGTGCCGTTATCAAATGTTATACCTGAATTGACTGAAAAAAGTGGAGTTTGACATCACGGAAGGTATACTTCACAAACACTATGACATATTTTGCACTGCACGAATCCAATTTTACGATCATTTCCTCACCTGTATATATATTATTGACCTGTATCCTGTGTATGTATACCTGTGACATTACCTGTATTAAAGACTTGTCACCAGCAGACATGATGTTGATTGTTGTCAGTAACATCCATCCATTACTGGTTTCTTCATTTTCGTCAATCTCCAGGAACTCTACGATTTTCTTAGACGCAGCTTCTGTGCTTTGATTGGATCCGCTATAACAAAAACACATATATTATTCGTTTGCAATCTGTGAATTGGGTTTTTGTACATCATCTGAAAGAGCTTCGTTTTCTGAGCACAAATATATTTTTTATCGATCCCATAGAACATTTATCTTGATTTGTAAACCAAATTTTTAAATTGACAATGGGCGCTTGAAAACAGGTCATCCGCATCCCGGAAGCTAAATTAATTTCTTCTGCCGGGCTACCAAATGGCGGATAGAACTTAGTAATTGTTTTGCGATTTTTTGTTTTGCGACGGCTGACTACACGGTCAGCCATGTTTTCATATCGTTCGTAGCAGGTGCTTCTCTATTTTGATCCGAGTCGCAAAATTGGCCTCCAATGGCCATCTTCTGGAGTGGACGACGGGACAAATCAACAGAAATATTTGTACTCAAGGTAAGTGAACTGTTTTTTAATGAAAAATATTAAATAAATTGATAATTTTTGTAAATACTTTTATCAGCCGGCTGCTGGTATTCTGGTAAGTAACATGAAATGTTTGTTGTTTTTGGGAGTGATTCACATTCCCATAAGTGGTATGCCGTTACACAACCAGCTGAATTCCAGCACCTCTGAGGAAGAGTTGCAAAAGTGAACTGAACGTTCTAATTAGTTCTCTTAAGGGGGTATTCCCAATCTTTTGCCTTTTTTCGGCCTGTTTTTCAATTAATTTTTTTTTCAAGGAAAATGAATAGTAATGCGCCTAACTCTTCGGGATTCTTGTTTATTGAACATTAAATTTTACAAATAAATTTTTTTCGACATAAAAAAAGACATTATTGACGTCACAAAATGACGGCAAACAGACCCCTGTTCGCCGCAAACGCCTGGACGGGCGAAGACTTTTTTCTGGAACGGCTTCATCTGAAACAGATTTCATGATGAAATTAATAATCTGCATAAGATTCTCTGGAGCTTCTCCCATTGGCAGCAAAAAATCTTGCAAATTAACAAAATGGCGGCCATATGAAAAAACAAGCGATTTTTAGCCCGCTTTTTTGCAGCTTTAAGGTGCTTCAAACAATGTTAAATGTTAATATTTTTGGCTGAAAGTGGGAGAAGCTCCAAAGAATTTAATAAGGAACAAAATGCGCAAAGATTCAAGTCAATATCTCTTATAGTTTCTGAGAAAAATCTTCGCCCGATAAAAAAAATGTGGTTTCGAGAAAAACGCGTTTAAAGTTTTGACTTTAGTTAAAACCATTTTGGGGGTTCTTACCATTAGTCAGCTATGCCTGGACACCGAATTCGCTGATCGAAAAACGGCTTGGGGGGATGAAAGTATATAGTCTAAAGTATAAAAAAACGTAAAAAAAAAAATTTGATTTTTTGAAAAAAAAGATCGGGAATACCCCCTTAAGTATGAATTACAGCACCCCTGAGAATGCGTAGGACGTGTAAATTTAATTTTAGTTTTCAGGAGTGATTGATATTGAAATTAGTTCTCAGAAGTGGTCCGCTGGAGGAATCCGGATGAGTTAAACATCCTTATTGAAGCGTTGCATTAGTAAGGATGTTTAACTCAGCCGGATACCTCCAGCGAATCAATTTTGATGTAATTATTTTTCAAAATTGATCCAACAAAAACAAAAACAAATTATAATGTTTAAAAATAGTTAGTTATAAAAATATGATAAATAATTATAAAAATTTTATAATAATAAAAGAATATGATAAATAAAGTTTATTGATGAAGTCATGTTTATGCTTCAACTGTTTTTATGTTTATTAAATTAAAATCCATTGAAATAGAAAATGGTGGTGAACAACCGGGGAGCGCGCCGGGACTGATGGGGACGGACAAATGGCGGACAAAATGGCCGAAACGATCAGTTTTTGGCAGGTATCGTTTTCGCCTCACGAGCTCAAATGTTGAGTTGAGCAAGTTGAGCACGTTTCTTCGGGACCTTCTGGTCTTAGAGTTACCTCTATGTTAATATCCAGTAAATGACAGTTCGCTCTATGACGAGGTGCGCTAAATGCTAAATATGACTCTAAATATTATGCAAACAACTGATCTTCCCCTGTGTGGTAAGTACTCAAGAGAATATTCTTTTTTGATAATAATCCAAAGCGAATACTTTTACGTTGATAAAATTAATTAAAATCCTTTTTCATGAAACATGACTGTGTTTTTATTTTAATATCAAACGCTTATTATACTTTAGAAATATGTGTTTTTCGATTTTTTACTTCAAAATCACCATGGTGTGTTCGATTGGCAAAGCAAATAAACAAAAATGATCGAAATACAGGCAGTACATAACATCACAACATTTTACGACAAGGCAGTGGCTTTTGCTTAACCTGCGCTCTGGGGTAAAACACGTACAGACGCGCATGATTCTAAATTTCTGAAAAGCTATGAAAAAGGTAAAAAAATATGCTGTAATCCATTACGTAATTGAATTAAGTTTTCCAATAATTTAAACTCAAACGATTATTTGCCCTTAAGGCACTCACAAAACTGTACGTCGCCGAAATTTACAGACGATAAATACGAAATATCACGACAACAACCATCATTTTAACCCAAATATTGTTGAAGGGCGCAAGCTTTGTGTATCCTTCAAACTTGCCGTCAAAAAGACACCTCAAGCACAGAGTTCTAGTAATAAGGACATTGTGCTGGGGCATGGAGTAGTTCGCCTCCTCGTGGTGTGCCCTGGAAACGTTAATTATCGAACCCAAGGGAGAGATATTGCGGCTAAACGAACTACCGCAGAGAAGCCCTGCACAAACCCTCGTTGTGCAAAGGCAGGAGTGACGCCGGGTTCTTAGTGCTTAGCACAAGCAGCTGGTAAGCGGTCACATCTGTCCTAAGCTACCCTGTTGGACAGTTGGCTGGCTATCACGTCTGCTTGGAACCGAGGCGAACAACGAACAGCGAACAACAAGAGGAGGTTGAGAAGCCCTGCACAAACCCTCGTTGTGCAAAGGCAGGAGTGACGCCGGGTTCTTAGAGTGCTTAGCACACGCAGCTGGTAAGCGGTCACATCTGTCCTGTACGGGCCCTGGACAGTTGGCTGGCTATCACGTCTGCTCTAGAACTCAGGCGAACAACGAACAGCGAGCAACAAGAGGAAGGCCCTGCACAGCTGCTCACTGTGCAGTAGCGAGTGTCATGTCTGACACAACACGTAGTGATGCGCCATAGCGCAATCGGCCCCCTCCCATGACGTAATGCCTTCGGGCGGTTCCGGGGAGGACAAGGGTCTAGAGCACAGGGTAAGGTTTAGTGGGTCGGGAGAGCTACTTCTCCCATCCCCACACCCTGAGTTATCTTCTCAGGTGTCTGGGAGCAGATTCCCCCCTGTATAAAAAAAAAAAAAAAAAAAAAAAAAAAAAAAAAAAAAAAGGACATTGTGCTATCCGAACAGGGCTCCAGTGTTACGCTACCATCGGAAAAAAGCGACGCAACACTGGTGGGTGCCAAATCATCAAAGATTGAGAACGTTAATAAAACGCTTCAAACGTTGGGGCTTAGTCCAACAACAACATGGAAGCTAACTCGTTCAAAAAGTTATCGAAACAGGAAATATGAAGACGCAGTACACAGTTTTAGGGAATAGAACTGGTGGAGGATCGACTGTATCGTTGAATATTTTATTGAACGGCTACGCAGTCTTTGTTGAATTAAACGAGTTTTTATTTACCCGACGTTTCGACACGGGGATTGTGTCTTCTTCAGGGGGAACTGTAATTTTATGTATCAATATACCATGTTTTCCTTACATATTTATGTTATGGTGACTTACAATAGTTTTTTCGTTTTTTGTCTTATGTTTTGTCTAACTTTAACTGTCTGGTCTCTAATGTGTTGGTACATGCTGTAAATTGAGTATTTGTTTGTTACTTATTGTTTTTAGTAATTTAAAATAAATTTAAAACTTCTTACACGTCGGATACACTATGCTATGAACTTGTAGTACTGGCAAATGGCGCAAAATTGTTTTTGGCAACCCCCTAATTATGAAACCCATTTTGTTTGGTAGCCGAAATGCCCTATCTTAAAAACCTATCTCTCATGTGTGGTCGATTGCTCTCTTCTGGTTTTGTTGCGTTTATCTGTATTCTTAATATTGTGCAATACTGCTGCGTATGTCGTACTAAGTCTGTCTATGTCTGTTCGTTTGTTTACTGTGTAGTTGGTGTTAGTGATATGGCACATTTCAAGGAATGGAAGTGTTGATGATTTGTAGCTATGGTCTATAATTTGTGTATTATCTAGATTGAATCTGTGGTTGGTTTCTATACAATGTTGGATCAGGGCGGTAGTAGTTTCTATGAGTGTTGCTGTGGCTGCTTCGGTAATGGTGTGGTTATCGTTCATCAGTTTTTCTAACTTGTTCACATTTGTTCTGTGTCCTGCTAGTCTTCTGCGTAAATTGTTTCTCGTCATTCCTATGTAGCTGCTATCACAATTATTGCACGGAATTTTATAAATTACATTGCTAATTTCCTCTTTACTTACAGGGTATTTAACTTTAGTGTGGAGATCGTTGATAGTGCGGTGCTGTTTTGTTGCGACTAATATGTTTGGGTAGTCCTTGGACAGGATTTTCGTAATGCGTTGGGAAAGTGCTGGTACATACGGGATTGCTCTGTAAATTTTTCCTTCCCTTTCTATTGTAGGTTGGTCTGGCATCGTTTGGATATTGATCTGTTAGTCTACGTCATTGATGGATTTCTTGGTCGAATGATGATCGGTTATCGTTGGTGCTGCTTGTTGGTGATTGATATTAATTGCATCGTTTGGGTGAAGCATTGGTACGGACTGTATGTGCGGGATGGAAATAGCTGGCACCATGGTCGGCTGGGTGGGTGGCTGCCATGATTGTTGGCTTCGCGTACATTTGGCTGGGTTAGATGTGGTTGGGTGCAGTGGGGGTGGGGTGAATGTATTATGGTGCGATGGTTGGCTGGAATGGGTGTTGGACGGATGATCTTGATATTTGTTCTTATGTAGATTTAGTAATCGGTTG